TGGATTTGGCCTTCAAATAGTTTGGCGTTTTATCTTTGCCTTCGCTATGTGTGTGATCTGATTTTGAAATTTTCAAAATCTATCATACAGGTGTGATAGATTCTATCAATTCTCTGCTGCACTACTCTTATGGATCAATAATCGTTCTGGCTTCTCGATTCAACAAGCCACTACCGTCGTAAATTGATTTTATTTATTGCTTTCTGATCTTTGGTCTTGTCATATGAGTTGTACAATTGTTCTCGTAAAATTACTGTAGTCGCAATTATTGTTAATGTAATAGATAAAATATATGTATATTAAATAATGTTTCCATGATTTTTTTTAATTATTATAATGTAAATAAAGTTTCTATTAAAATCCGCGATAACGCTGCGTCACTAAATAAAATAAAAATGACAGTAACGCTATGGGTGTGAACAATAATAATGTATTTTTTTTTTTTTTCCTCTGAATTAATTTTAATAACTGAATGATACAAATAAATATTGGAGTAAAATCATTACTAAATGGGTAATTGCTGTAACATTTTGCGCCTTACTGCTGCGGAAATCAAAATCAAATTCAAAATATATAATGACCATCATTTTGTAACTCGAAGCTAATTCATAAATAAGGCATTATTACTCTTTTTTTTTTTTAAAAAAAAAAAAAAAAAAAAAAATTTTTAATTGGTTTAGGTTTTAAATGTCTTCGAAAGAAATCTGTTTGGGAATAGACGTTGGTGGTACAAAGTTCGCATGCGTTGCCACCACAACTGTTTCTCTAATAGATTCATCATTTTTCAAAAAACCTACCATTTCAAGTTTAGCCTTTGATGATCATGGATACAAAGTATTGACCGGACCATTATTTTCGGTGGATTCATTTGATAAAGTACTTGATGAGTTTATTTTAAAACTTGATGATACCTATAATAAGAATTATAAAATCGTATCAATCGGGGTTGCGATTTGTGGTTTAAGTGATAAAGAAGGCACCATCACATTATGCGAAATCGGTATCCTTCAAGGATGGAATCCCGTGAAACATTTAAAAGAGAAGTTTGGTCAAGATGTTAGGGTTCTCACTTTTACGGATAGTGTTGCTGGATTGGAACATGCTAGAAGAGAATGGCCGGATGTAAAAGATATGTCTATCATTGTTGCGGGTAATTTTGCAGTTTTTTTTTTTTTTTTTGATTTAATTTACTTTTTCTGAAAATAACTTGTGTGATTAAAGGTACTGGAATCGGAACAGCCTTTTTGTGCAATGGACAAATTGTTAGAGGTCATCTAAATGCAGCAGGAAATCTTGGTATCGCTCCAATGTTTCTCCCACAAGATTACGCTAAATATGTAAAAAACTACATCACCGAACCGATGAGTTCGACACTTTCACCACCAACGATGATGCTTGATCAATTAGCAGGTGGTAAAGCATTAATTCGTATTATCACCCAAGAAATTGGTGTTAGCGTTGAAGAAGCAATTCAACGACTTTCCAAATATTCTTCTCCAAAAGAAGTCCTTTCAAACTCTTCAGATAATGATGCTGAAATCGATCAAAAACTTGTTAAAGTCATATTGGATTGGGCTACAGTGTTCGGGATCGCTGTGGCTAATATCCTTTGTACTTTTAATCCAAAAGTTTTAGTAATCGCCGGCGGTGTTTTAAACTTCCCTTTTTATGTTGATAGAGTCATGGAAATTGGTCAAGAATATGCTGGCGCCATTGTTCCTGAAATTTGGAGTGAAACTTTGGTGGTTAGAAGTTATTGGAGTAATGATTTGGTTGTCAGGGGTGCTTTAGCGGCTGCTTATGATGAAGGAAAGTAAAAAAAAAAAAAAAATAAATCTTTTAATGTGAAATTTTTTTTTTTTTGTCACGAATTCATAATCGATCGCCTTATATCGATTGCGATCATAACATTGAAACGATTTTTTTGTAATTCCTAAAAATTAAGGGTACAGTAATCGCCTTATAAAGAAGTTGGATAATAGAAATATTGAACACGATGAACGAATAAATAATTAAATTGATATATCACCGTTTCCTTTTAAAAATATCCGCTATTGAATTAATTATGCGAATGAGTCTTTTAAGTGTTACATTCGCAGGATCGAAATACAATATGAGAGGATTTCTAGGAAAATCAGATTCGAGACTAAAATTAACGTTAAGAGCTTAATGCATTTTAATCTAATGACATCAAAAACTAAAATGCAATAAAAATCTCAATTTTTGTTAAAAAATTCCCGGAACCTGATTTTCCTAGCAATCAACCCATATACAGTCAGAACCCGTTATAATGAACTCTTGGTATAACGATCACTTAAAAATTCTCGTTTAAACGACTTTTTTATAATTTTTTGTTCTATATTAAAACATAATATCATATTTATAAATTTTGATAAAACGATTTTTTTCAAAAATTTTTATAATAAACTTCTATAAGTTCCAACGCCTAACAAAAAGAAAAAAAACATAAAGGAATGACTTAACTTTTACTTACCCGGGAATAATTTGCTTTATTAATAAGACGATGTATTATACTTTATAAAAACATTAATATAAATATATAAATATAAGAAGTTATACGAACTAATCATCACTTGAAATGACATATAGGTAGTCATTTCATTTATTATAGATATATTCAATTTAATATATGCTATAAGGGGAGTGACACATATCACGTCATTATAGTTTACTATTGCCTCCCCCCCGTGAGACTTATTATTCACGTGATTAAAGTGACCAATAATTAAGCATTATTGTACTACTATTTAAATGTTATATTAAAAATAAATAAAAAATGCATTTATTT